ATACTCACCTGGATTCCCTCAGTCATGACTCAAATTCATCTGCATCTAAGCCAGAGATTGAGGATGTATAAGGGTAACTAACCATAAGTTAAGTAGTCACATGTAACAACAACAACAAACCTTTGATCTCTGGCCCTGACACAGGAGTAAAACAAATGAAAAATCTACTTTTAGCTTAGAAGCACTCTGATTTTTGTTAGCTGGTTATGATGGCTATGACAAAGGCGCTCTCAGTCTGCTTTTATCAGGCAAAAACCCTAGTCACTGTACCCTAGCAGAATGAAACTGAGGTGGCTAGACTGGCCCTGAAGAAATCAGACCTGAATACAAGTAGCAAGGAGCAATGCCCAGGACAGATAAGCTGGCAAAGACAAATGCTCAGAAAGGATCAGCCCCAGTGAGAGCAGGGCTATTATATCAGGGCCCCTTGTGGAAGATTCCTATTCATGCTAGCTTTCCTTACTGTTGGAGCATACATTTGTGAGACAGTGTGTTTATGAGGGGAATGTTCTACTACAAATCTTACTATGTTTTCTCCTTAAATACCTTTGGTTTTAGTTAATTGTGACTGCTGACTAGCGCCAAAAGTGGAAACACTGGTGGGGGCTCATGAGGAATGGCTTTGAGTGAATGCAGAACCCCTGCAGAGTGCCTAGAACTTAGAGTAATCCTTCTGGGGGATGATCCATGTGACACTCAGGTGCCACAGGTGCTACAATCTCAATTTTTTACTTTTTCCAGCCCACCAACAGGTCCTAATAACCAAGGGTTATTAATGAGAGATTCTCATTCTAGAGACTGAGGAAGAGAACAGAGCAAGACTGTCCCCTAAAACCATTTAAACACAACAGCTACAAGCAGTTCTAGATAGAAAGAAAGAGCCTGAGAATATACAGGAAGAAAGGGGACTATAGGCAGACTTCCAGGTGATGCTCTGGGTTTCCTGGGCTGACACACTGTCTGTACGGCTTTGGATTTCCAAAGAATATGTATGCCCCATCACGTAGCACTCGTCTCTGGGTAAACAAGGGGGAAAATCACCCACGGCTAATCAGGCTGCAGGTGGTGACTGGAGACAGGAATCATTTGACTCCCTCCTCCTCCCTCATCTCCACCAAAAGTGGCCTTCAGGTGAGGATGTCAGATTAGCCGAGTCTTGCAGGAAAATCAGGAAGAGGGTAAGAGCAAGCAAAGCGGGGGATGGTGGCAGGAATGAGGAATTAAGTGAAGAAAAATGGCAGGAGAAACAGGGAGACGCACCAGCATGCTTTCTGCAGCAGGCTTGGCCCATGAATCGAGAGGTGACAAGTCTCTCATCTCGGATGCCAAAAGCCAGGGGCTCAGTGCTGCAGCAGGTACTACATCCACACCTGCCAGCCCTTGGAAAAAAGCTATAAAGCATCACAGGAGGGCTGTGTAGTGTTAAATTCTGGAAGCTGCAGAGGGTTCAGCCTTGGAGAGTGGCAGCAGCAAATGTCCAAGGTGCAGGAGGCCGGTTTCCAGAGATGCCTTGTCCCATGTCTCCCCTCCCTCTACCTTGCAGGTATCTCCCTGGGGGATGGAGGTAGGGGGAGGGAAGATCCTGAAAGTAGGTGCCACAGTCCCACACTCCAGGTTATTCCACCTGCCCCAGGTGAAGCTTGGGGTTGGGGGAGGGGGGCCCAGCCATGGGATCTTCTGATCAAGCACAAAAAGGACTGTGTGTGATTTATGGATAATGGGCAAGATGACAGAAAGCTGGAATGCCTTGTAAATAAAAGCAAGTCATAAAACAGCTCAGTCCAAGTTTCTATGGAAACCCAAAAGGGTCATGTGGGCCATGCACAGAGCTGCAGCCCCCTTCCAAGGCAATGCCAACATCTGTTTCCCTACCTGTAAAAGGTATTTCAAAAACAGGGCAACTTCATGCCCCCAGGGGACACCTGGGACTTCACATATTAGTGATGCAAAGATGAGGGGATGGCTAAGAATGGTTCACTGATCTTTTGGCTCCATTTCTCACTTGTCTTAGATATACTGCCTTTGCAATGGCAAAGATTATAAGATGCTTTCTTGTGCTATATCAGAGGCTTGTCCTGGGCATCTTTGCTGTACATAGAACATTCACTTTGTCCTCACTCTACGATGGGGGAAGAGAGAGGAATGAGGAGGGGAGGCAGAAGGACATAGGCTTCTGAGCCAGGAAGAGAGACCCAAATTCAAGTCTTACTCTTGACACATATTAGCTGGATGACTCCCAGAAAGTTAATTATCCTCTTAGTGGCCCCAGGCAACTTTCTAAGATTGGAAATTGCTTTTCTTCGAAATGTCTCCCCTATCTTGTACTTGTGAAATTAATTTTTTTGAACCCATCTGTAAGTCTTACATGTACCTCTTACAGAATTTCATCTTACTAAATTCAGGCCCAATGCTCTACCATAGGTTCTTAACCCTTTTTTGGTCATGGACCCCTTTGGCAGTCTGGTGAAGACCATGAACCCCTTCTTATAATAATATTTTTACATATATCAAATAAAATACATGAGATTATAAAAGAAGTTGCTTATGTTCATTAGCAAAGGGAGCTTCTTCTATGAATTTTCCTATGCTAATGAAAAGAATGAGGAGGAAAAGGAGGAGGAGGAGGAGAAGAAGAAAAACGGGGGGGAGAAAGGGGCACATGAAGAGAAGAAGAAAGACTCCTTATTCCAGGTCTTCTTTCCAGGAGGAGCACAGCGGAAAGAATCTAGGATTTCTCTGTATTCTGATGAAATGAACCTGGACCCAGCCACCCCCACACCCCAGCTGGAGCCCTTCCAATGGTAAATTCAGGAGTGTGAAAAATTCCAGATGATCTGAAAGACAATGATAAGTCTTCCCACAAAACACTAAGTATTTTCCACAGGTATGAAAGCTATCCACAGAGCAGAGTCCCTTCTATGGGAGGCCAAGATTTCCCTGTAGAGATGAACTCCCAGCCCAACAGAATTCTAAATAAAATCTGAGAGCTAGAAGGAACTTGAGCAGCCACCTAATCCAATCCATAGACAAAAGGGAGGCTCCCCACAACATACCCCCAAAAAACGGTCATTTGCCCTCTGCTCGAAGACCTCCAAGGAGGGAGAACACCCCACCTCTAGAAGCAGCTCATCGCACTTAGGAACAACTCTAATTGTTAGATTTTCCTGATGTTGAGCTTAAATAATGATAGCTAACATTTATATAGTGCTTTAAGTTTTCAGAGCACCTAACATATTAATATATGTAATTAATACATCTCACTTGATCCTTACAACAACCTTGTGAAATAGAAGCTACTGTTATCCCCATTTTATAGATAAGAAAACTGAACCTGATAGGGGTTACATGACTTGCCCAGGGACACACAGCTAATAAGTATCTGATGTAGAATTTGAACTCAGGTCTTCATGACTTCAGGCCCAGTACCTACCTGCCCTTTTTTGTAGCTTCCACCCTTCTTCCTGGTATTGCCCTCTGGAGCCAAATGGAAAAAGTCTAATTGCTGTACCACATGAAAGACCTTGAAATTCTGAAAGACCACTATCACATCCCTGAGTCTCATCTTCTTCAGGCTAAACATGGCCAAGTGCTTTAGTTGATCCTTCCATATCACAGATTCAAGGCCATTTACCGTTCATTTTGCCCTTCTCTGCACTCTCCAGCTTCTCAAACTAAGGTGCCAAGAACTGAACCCAATTCTCCAGATGAAGTCTAACAGAGCAAAGAAGGATGACACCCTTACTCCTTACTCCTGGAAGCTATGCCCTCTTCAACACAACCAAAATCAAATGAGCAGTTTGGGCTGCACATCACCCTGCTGACTCATTTAGCTCAATCGTTTTCAGTCCACTAACACTGCCAGAACTGCAGTCTAACCAAGTCTCCTCCATCTTGTATTTGTGAAATTGATTTTTTGAACCCATGTATAAGACTTACATTTATCCTTTGCTGGATTTCACCTTACTAGATTCAACTCAATATTCTAAAGCAGGGGGTCTTGATCTTTTTTTATATCCCAGACCATTCTGGCAGTCTGGTAAAGCCCATAGACCCCTGCTCAGAACAATGTTTTTAAACACATCACACAGGATTACAAAAGAAACCAGTTATATTGGCATATAGTTATACAAATAATAATTTTTTAAAAACCCAACAAGTTCATGGAGCCCAGGTTAAGAACCTCTATCTAAATCTATATCTCTTCATATTTTCCCATGAATATTTAAAAACCAGGTTCAAATGCCCCATTGGTCATAGGGTGGAGGAGATAAGGACCCATGTATGGCTCCTGGGTATGTTAATGTCCAAGGACTAGAAAAGGGAGCAGAGCTAGAGATTGCTGTTACACAATTCCCTCTCCCTACTTGTCGTCTGTCATCTTCAGTACCTCCCACACCCTCAATTTCAAAATGTCAAGTGTCCTTCCCCCCACCCCTACCAAAGAGTTGGGAACCTCTGATCTAATCCAATCTCATGCCCTCATTTCATAGAGAGGAAAATGGGGCCTCAAGAGTTTAAGTGACGGTCCAGATAGAAAGTACAGGGTCTAGTGGAAAGATCATTGGTTTTACAGTCAGAAGATCTGAGTTCAAGTCCTGTCTTTCCCACTTATTAGCTATATGATCATCAGCAAGTTATTTCACTTCTCCACACCTCAACTTTCCTCATCTGTAAAATGGGAAGAATAAGACTTGCACAGGGTTATTGTGAGGAAAACACTATATAAAGGAGAGCTCATATCAAATGGTAGAGCCAAGACTCAAATCCAGGTCTGGTGACTCTCAGTCCAGGGTTCCATGATGCCTTCAAATTCAGTCCTTTGCTTAAATCTGGCTCAGATCTGGGCTCTGCCCCTTCAGGAATCACTCCCTTCCAAGTTGATATCTTAAACTTTCTGACCAAACCAGGATGTTTGGAGGGAAACCCTACTATGGGCTCCTGACGTGGTAATATCCTCTAGCCCGTCATCAGTTACCTCTTCCTGGGAATGACGATGTTACCTGAATGTCTGAGGCTCCCTGGGAAGAGCAGTTCTGCAGTTTGTACATCCAATACTCCTTCGCAGTGACAAAGAAGTTCCAGGGCAGCAGGGAGCCAATTCCCATGCTGAAGAAGATGATGTAGGCTCCATGGTAGCGATCATGAGGCTTGGGGGAGCTATAATGGCTTCCGGGATGTTCCTCAAGCAAGGGGGACTGTTCATCTGGTGGAGCGCTGTTTGGAGCTTTGTACATGGAGTTGGAGTGGTGGTAAAACCCATCTTCCGAGGCAATGGCCACTATCGGGAGACAGAGAAAGACTTACGTCAGAGTCAAAAGCAGACTAAGAGGACCATTGGAATCACATTGATCTTAAATAACCCAATCTCAGAAAAAGAAATAGATCTAGTTGTAAAGGAACTGCCAAAGGAAAAAAAAAATTCCTATACCTGATGGATTTACAGGAGTCTATCAAACTTTTAAATATATATATATATACATTATTTTCCCCAATTATATGTAAAGATAATTTTTAATATTCATTTTTTAAAAATTTGAGCTCCAAGTTTTCTCCCTCCCTCTCCCCCCTCCCCCCTCCCTGAGATGGTAAGCAATTTGTCTATCAAACTTTTAAAGAACATTTAGCACCCAGACTTTACACATTACTCTCAAAACACTGAGAAAGAAAGCACCCTACCAGAATCATTTTATGAGACAAACAAAGCCCTAATATCTAATCAGGGAAAGATAAAACACAGAAAGAAAACTGCCGGTCAGTATCATTAATGAACATTGATTCAAAAGTTTTAAGCAAAATCATACTAGTCTACAGCAACTTATCCAAGAAATCATTTGTTATGATCAAGTGGGATTTGTACCAGGGATGTAAGAATGGTTCAACATTAAGACGATAATCAACATAATCAATCATATTAAAAACCAAAACATCCAAAACCACATAATTACCTCAATAGATATAGAAAAAGCCTTTGACAAAGTACAACACTCCTTTATGTTAAAAACAAACAAACAAAAAACAACCCTATAAAATAAAGGCATGGAGGGCCTTTTTAAATCATAAAAAGCATTTATCTGAAACCAAAAGCAAACATAATATGCAATGGGGATACACCAGAACCTTTTTCATTAAATACAACAGTGAAGCAAGGCTGCCCACTCTTACCACTGTAATATGATATAGTTCTAAAAATGCTAGCAATAGCAATAAGTCAAGAGAAAGGAATTAAAGGAAGAAAGATAAAGAGGAGATAAAAATATCCTTGTTTGTTAATGATATGATCGTATACTTGGAAAACCCCAGGGAATGAGCAAAGATAGTAACTGAGACAAGTAGCTTTAGCAAAATTGTAGAGTATAAAATATAACCTCACAAACCAATAGCATTTCTACATAAAAATAATAACAAAATACAAGAAGCAAATAGAAAAGGAAATCTTATTTCAAATAACTACAAAATGCATGAACTATCTAAGGATTAATTTCCCAAAGCACACAAAAGACTTCTATAGATTCAATTGCAAAGTGTTCCTTCAAGAAATAAAGAATAATTTAAATAGCTGAAGCTATTTAATATGAATAGCACTTAATATTCAATGCTCATGGCTAGGACATGCCAATATAATAAAAATGCCAATAGTACCAAAATTAATTTATACTTTTAGTGCTGTACCAATCAAATTACCAAGGGGATACTTTACAAAGCTTAATAAGATAATAACAAAATTCATTAAAAAAAAAGATCTAGCATATCAAGGGAAATGATAAAAAGAAGTAAGGACAAAGGGGGAATAGCACTTGCAGACCTCAAATTATATTATAAAGCAGTAGTCATCAAAACCATCTGGCATTGGTGAAGAATAGAGAGATCAATGGAATGGACTAGACAAGGGGGATTCAGAAACAATAGAATCCAATAACCCAATGTTTGACAAAGTAGAAAACATAAATTATTCAGGGAAAAACTCCCTATTTGATTAAAAAAAAATCTGCTGGGAAAACTGGAAAGCAGTCTGGCAGAAATTAGGTTTAGACCGACACCTTATATCTGGGTAGCTAGGTGGAACAGTAAATAGAGTGCCAGGCCTGGAGTCAAGAAGACTCATCTTCCAGAGCTTGAATTTGGCCTCAGACACTTACTAGCTGTGTCTCTGGGCAAGTCACTTAACCTTATTTGCCTCAGTTTCCTACTCTGTAAAACGACCTGAGAAGGAAATGGCAAACCATTCCAGTATCTTTGCCAAGAAAACCACAAATGATGTCACAAAGAACTGGACATGACAGAAAAATGACTGAACAACAACAATAACAAAAAAATCACCTCATATCACACTCCACAGTATATTCTAAATGAATATGTGACCTTAATATTAAAAATGATACTATTAAAAAATTAGAAGAGAAACAGATCACATATCTCTCACAGCTATGGATAAGAGATATATTCTTAACAAGAGACAGAAGCAATTACAAAAGATAAAATAGATAACTTTGATCACTTGAAACTGAAGTGCTTCTGCACAGACAACATTAATGCATCTAGGATAAGAAGAGAAGTGGTGGAATGGGAAAAAATAATCTTTGTATCAAATTTCTCTGATAAGGGTTTGGTACCAAAGAAATAAAACACACACATATGTATGCATGTATGTGTATATATTCCTATATATATATATGTATATGCCATTCCCCAATAGATAAATGGTCAAAGCATATGAACAAACAGTTCTCAAAAGAAGTGCAAAGTGTTCACAACCACATGAAAAAAGTGCCCCAAATCACTAATAATAAGAGAAATGCAAATTAAAACAACTGGAGGTTTTACCTCACACCTTGCAAACTGGCAAAAACCATTTTAAAAAATGGCAACAGTCACTGCTGAAATGGTTGTAGGAAGCTGGGCACACTAATACATTTTTGGTGGAGCTATGAAGTGGTACAACAATTTTGGAAAACAATTTCGAATTATGCAAATAAAGTGACTAATATGTCTATACCCTTTGAATCAGAGACTTCATTACTAGGCTTATACTCCAAGGAAGCCATTAACAAGAAAAAGTTCCAATATAATCTAAAATATCTATAGCAAGCACTTTTTGTGAAAGCTAAAAATAAGAAAAAAAGAAGATGCCCATCAATTTGAATGTAATAGAATATTATGATGCTATAAGAAATAATGAATGTGATAAACACAGAAAGATCTCTATGAATTGATGTTGTTTGTCCTTTGTTCTCGAAGAGGACCATGACATCAGGAAGATGATGCCATGACACGCAAGTGAATTGGATTTAAGTGAGGGAGGGCTGTGCAAAGTCACCAGCCTCACTATCTCTTTCAGAGCATCTGGGTGCAGTGGGAACATATGGATCAGGGCGACTGCAGATGGTCCCAGATGCAGGGGGAAACCTTGGACTTTTTAAGCTAAGGTCTTTCCCAGGTCTCAGTTGGACTGAGGCAATGCCCATTTAGTGATTAAGGCTAGGTGAGAAATGAGGCAAAGAATGACTTCTTTCACCTAGTCAAAAAATAAATAAATAAATAAATCTGGGAGGGGAAGACCCTCAGGGTTTCTGGCCAAAACAGAAACAATTGCTATTTACACTCACTCTGAGCCAGTAGAGCCCAAACAAAGACCAAATGAGGCATGGGCTGAGACCTATTATTGGTTAATCAATGAGTGATTTGGGTTTAAGGCATGATAGAAAGAAATCTAGGCATAAACCCTAAAATACCTTGCAAGATTTCAGTGATCAAAATTTATATTCCTTTGGGCAGAGCACCTAAAGGAGGAAGGGAAGGAGGGAAGGAGGGAAGGAAAGGAAAAAAAAGAAGGAAGTAAGGAAGGAATGAACGAACGAACAAATGAACTCACATAATGAAGTAAGCAGAGCCAAGAAAATAATATACACATAGTAACTACAACAATGTAAAGAACTGTACACCAAAACAATAAAAAATAAATGTAACAGGAACACTTAGGTGGGGCAGTGGATAGAGCACAGGCCTTGGAGTCAGGAAGACCTGAGTTCAAATTTGGCTTCAGACACTAGCTGTGTGACCCTGGGCAAGTCACTTCACCCCATGACAAAATGATGATCAAGGAGGACTTGAAGAGATATGACAGAATACCCCCAATCCACCCCTTTGTGGAGGTAGAAAGTCTACAGGTGTAACTCATTGCACATGTTTTCAATGTATCTATCAATTTTATTGACTTTTTCCCCTCTCTAAAAAATACTATTTGTCTTACGTGATGGTTCTTTGGGAGGGAGGAAGGGGAGGGATACCTGGGGTTACCATGGTGATATAAGAAATAAAAAATGTCAATAAAAGCTTAGATTAAAAAAAGAGTCACACTGAATGATTCCTTACACATAAGACTCCATTTCCCATCTCTGCATATTTGTACAGGCTGTTTAGGCTCAAACCTGAAATGCACTTACTCATCTATCACTTTTTAGAAACCTTCATTTCCCTCCGGTTTCAAGCCAGATGCCTCCTTCTGCAGGAAGCTTTTCCTGATCCCACCCTGGTGTCTCCCTCTAACAATTACTCTGTATTTATTCTGTAAATACTAATATATGTACATGTTGTTTCCCCCATCGAATGTAAGCTCCTTGAGGGTAGGTACTGTTTCATTTTCTCTGTATCCCCTGTGCCTAACACAGTGCCTGGCACAGAGGCACTTAATAAATGCTTGTTAACTTGGGAAGCTTTTGAAGTTTACAGTGTAGAGACCATGTTCTGTAGTATAGTCAAAGTTTTTTAAATTTGGCATGCTGTGAGAAAAGTCACTAAACCTTTCATTCTCTTTAGCCCAGTGATCTCACTACTAGATATATATATATATATATATAGCCCAAGGTATTCAAAAAAAAAAAGGAGGGGGGGCCTTGTATATCAAAATATACATTGTACCACTTATAGTAACTGAAACTAAAAATCAAAAACAAAAACCCAACCTGGGATACAAGTAGGTGCTCAACAATTGGAGAATAGCTTTTTAAAAGTATAATACATGAATTAACTGAATACAACTGTGCAATAAGAAAATGTTAACTATAAAAATAATAAATATAAGGACTTCAGAGAAGCCTAGAAAGGCTTGTCAGAAATGATGCAGATTTGGATAAACAAAACCAGGAGAATAATATCTATACTGTAAATAGCATAAACAAAAAGAATTATGATTAATTGCAATGCCAACTCTGGTCCTAAAGAAATTCCAAGAAACACATTCCTTCCCTGTAAAGAGGTGGGGGGCTATGGTTGCAGAATGTG